TAGATGCTATCGCGACATGAACAGCCACGACCTGCTGCTTTTTGGCAGAGTTCTACGCCGCGTTCTTTTTCTTTTTGTCCCAAAACTTTCGCTTGTTGTCAGCGACTTTGGATGGTTCTGAGACGGCAAGGGTTGTTGCCGTTGTCGGGGTGCAGACTCCGTGATCGATGAGCCGTTGTGCCAATCAATTGGCACTGTCGAAGGTAGTGGGGTTTGAAGCTAAAACATTCCTCTGGAATGGAGGCACCAGCCCCCAGATATACCTCTCGATCTTCTTTCCCTCAGTAGGGACCATTCCCGGACATAGTGCCACCAGATCGATGAACCTGGCAGTGTAGGCAACTATATCGGAGCCCTTCATGGTTAGGCTCCAAAGTTCTTGTTCCAGTTTCTGAACCTCGCCCCTCGGGCAGTATTCTTCAATCATAAGCTCCTTCAGAGCTTCCCAGCCCATAGTATTTGACACTATTAAGGTTAGTGACTTGACATGGCTATTACACCATGTCAGGGCTGTGTCCGCGAAGGAGCAGGCAGCAAATTTAACTTTGCTCCCTTCCGGACAGGAGCAGATCTCGAAGATCGACTCCATCTTTTCGACTTCATGGGCTTGCCGTTGGTGAAGTCCTTATACGAACACTCCCTAGGGTACCCGTGACTACCACCTTGGGTGTAGTTAATACCCGATTCACTCCCGCTAGTACCGGTCGTGTTGAATGGAGCTAGGGCTTCCGTGACAGCCGGGGCCACTCCAGCTTGGATAGCTGCCGGATCGAATTGTGGAGAAGGTAGTGGAGTTTGATTTGGAGTTATCGGAGTAGTGCGTCTGTTTGATCTACGAGGAGGCATCTTGCAGCTATAAGTTCACAAAGATGAAGATATCGGTAAGCATTCAATAGTGAGAAATGAGAGTGATCCATAGACTAAATCACCATAGCCCAACAAAACAGATGAGAGTATAAGTGTAATAGAGATATAACAATAGAAGGATGAAAACATTTGGATAATGATTTCCCATGAGATTAGATATCTGTCAATAATATTGGCATTAAAGATGTAACGAGTTCGGGAAAAATGACCTAAAAGTAGGTCTTACATCAAACCAGAATAAGAAAATTTGGCAGAACAAAGACCTAACAGACTGAAAGTCCAAGTTCTTAAGATAAATAGGAAATTTATACTAGATTCTATACATAGACCTAATAATATCCAAAAGACAAAGTAGAGTAGACTCTAATTGCAAAGAGAAACGCTCGGATGAGCCTTTGATTCTGCCTGATGACGCTCCATTTCCAGCATACGCCTTTCGAATGTTGCCTGACGTGCTTGAAGTTCCCTAACTTCAGCTTGGGTTGCAGTAAGTTCTCTCTGAAGGGCCTCATTGTGGTCCAGAGTTCTTCCATGAGCAGCTTGTAGATGGCGAATGCAGAGTATATTGACTCCCGCATCGGCATCAACTTCCATGACTCGGTTGAAGGCTGCCCTACTCTGCTCGTCATTTCGAGCAACCCTGCGAACCGAAATAGGCAGGATTCTGTCTGCTGAGCCTCCCTCGCTCAGATTGTAGAAGATTTTGTCTCCGTTGGATGGTATGGGTTGACCCTGCTCTTGACTCCATCTTCCCAAGTTCTCTGCCCACAAAGGCGGCGGGCCTTAAAAAGCCTGACGAGGGTTAGGATTTGGGATTGGAGCCGCTACGGGTAGATCATTGACTTCTGGCTCTGAGTCAGAATCCTCAGGGAGGTTTTCTGCGAAGTCATCATCTAACGGAATTTCATGATTCTCTTTTGGCTCTGCATCGAGCCATCCACCATTTCCTTGGTTGGGGAAGTACGGGTCGCCGTGGGGATGGAATTCAGCCATGTTATCTACGCAAGAATAGGGGTGAAAGAAATAGTTAATAGACACATTACTTAAGATAATTATAGGATGATCCTTACCAGTTACTCCAATATTTGCGTAGTGCATACCAATCATATGTAACCAAGATAGAATAGACCTTCGAATAAGTGACCCTAACTCTAAGTCCACAACCAAACAAGGAATAGGAAGTAAAGCAAAGATCACAAATTCTAATTCTATAACACCTTAGTCACATATAAACTTTGCGTATCCACTCAGCAACTGTTGACATACTAATAATGACCTTTTAGTTTGAACATAAGTAATTATAGTAACACAAAATACCCCTATAGTATTTTAAGTTTATGTTATGTTCGAATGTTTTCATTGTAGTAGTGTTGGTATGTTTTTAGACTTGCTGCAACACCACAACCATTCCTACGCACATGCTAATCACTTCTCGGAAAGATATAGTTGATCAGGCTATGTCACTCCCAGATCAGATTATATGTCCCCACGCCTACTTGTGATGTCCAACAACCGCAATACTTTTGTTCTGATCTAGTATGACACTGATCCTAGTATGAATGCTTGTATGTATACTTTACTAAAATACTTTATTATTTTAAAAGTATTAACTCTTGGTCAGAGTGTTTTAATCCTAATGTGTTTATAGTTGTATATCTTTTATGGGTTGATATACTCAATTCACTATAAACAAAGCTCTGATACCAATCTGTCACACCCCCAAACCAGAACGACGGAAACGTTCGGGGGCGGAGGACGTCATGTATAATATCATAACAATGCATAATAGTAAAACAAGCGACAACATCATCCATTGCATTAATAATATACTTTAATACAAGTGTGTTCTGTGTATAGTTTGTAAGAGTTTGATGTAAAGTTTGTATCTGTTTGATGTAAATGTTTGTATGCTTCCTAGAAAATCCTATATTTTCTACTAACGTAGTCTTCTACCAAGACCCGACTGTTTTATATGTTTATCCTTTTGTAAAAGTGAGGGTGTTTCCCAAGTATGACTACCATTACTAGAAAATAGTTTACATTACCTTTTATGTGAGAAGATCACTATATGAATGTTATGGGAAAATGAAGATGTACAGTAGTATTGTATAAAGTAACAACAGATGTACTAACTACCTTAAAACTAATTGTTTAATTGAGGTAAAATGTGATGAGATTATAACTATACTTGATTGACTCGTAAAACACAACGATCAAAGACGTCGAAATGGTATGACATTCGTCACCCGTAGACCTGCAGGTCCCACTGTAGCTAGCAACAAGGTGTAGGATGATCAATCCTGTATATATCTATACACAAACTCACGATCTCCCTCCAGGAGACACTGGTTACAAAACGTGACACAACAGTATATTGTCGTGCGGTGAAGTAGTGGCTCACATTAATGTTATCTTTGTTATTGTATTAGTGTAGTATGTTCCTTCTGTTCTAGTGTATAGTATGTTTGAAATGACTCATGTATGAACTGACTCTTGTAAGTTTCATTGTTCTTGAAATAGTAAGTAGTAACTTCCTAAACTATACCTATTATAGTTTACTAGTACTGTTGTTTGAATGACTGATCATGTTTGAAGACCTTTGGTACCCAAAGGTATTGAACTGATTTTAAGAACTTTTATATCTACATACATATACATAATATATAACTAAGATTCAAATGACACTCGGACAAACAACCGATACCCTAAGTCCACAACTAAACAAGGAACATGAAATAAAGCGAGTTATCAGTCCTAAGCCCTTTCAACCTTATTTATATAACTATATCCATATAGACATGATTTTGACAATATATAAGTTAAAAAGTGTTTGATAAAGACTTTAGCATATAAAAGAGTTTTAACCATTTGAATAGTTATATATGACTTCATGTCAGTTTATAAAATGTTTTGAAATAGTTTGTTTGATAACACAGTTTTGAAGTATAAGAAATCCACTTGTTTGATAGTTATTAATCACATGCGATTGGTATAATAACTATAATGTTTTCTACTTGTATTCCCCCCCCCCCATAAAAGCATTTAAAATCATTTAAAAAATAAGTTAGGGTATGAAGTCTCGAGCACAAACGGATCCTATTAAGCATATAATGACACATATATGTCTATAATTAGTGTATATAAAAACTAATCATGTTGGGGAACAACCTTAGGGACTAGGAAACACTTGGAATGAAGTGTTACAATCACATATGATTGTACTAAAGGTGTTCACAGGCACAGAAGGGTGTGTTTACGGCCAATGGGTGTTTACAGACATGGGTGTTTACGGCCAAAAGTGTTTACGGCCATGGGTGTTTACGACCAAAGATGATCATGAGAAGGGTTTACGGCCAATGGAGAGTTTACGGCCGTAAACTCTTGATGTTCATGCTAAAATGGTTGATTCTTGGATGTAATTCTTGAGCTTCTAATGGATAACTAGTATATGGAAATGATACTTACGATTTGGAAGCTTGAAGGGGTGTTCACGGCTCAAAGAACTAGTGTGTGTTCTTGGTGTTCTTGATGATTTGAAGATCTAACCCAAAAGAGATGAATTCACGGATGAAATCATAGGGTTTTACTAGATTAAGATGGACATCAACTAATAATGAAAGAATTACTTACAACTTTTACGAGAAAATGGAAGTGTTCTTGATGATACTTGAGAGAGAAATGAGTGTTCTTGACTTGAAGATGTGAGAAGTGAAGAAAAATAAAGGAAAATCATACATAGGGAGTAGAGTTCATGGCCATATAAGAGTTTACGGCTGTAAACTCCATGTGATGGAGTTTTTCGGCTTGAATGTTGCACAATGAACTCTAGTAGATACTTCCTAACACTCAATCCTTGAATGTACTAGGCTTAGAACACTCAAACAGACCCATAACAATGCTAAAAGATAGCCGAAACAAGTCTGACTTTTGATTGAATTGAATGGCTTTACAAGATAGAAATTTCAGGTTGTCACATTATGGAGTGCCAAACGCCGCTTTTCTCTGACCACTAATTATGTATATAAGGAAATTTAAAGCGTCATTCTCATTCACCGCTTTTAAAGAATTTCTCTTTCCGGCGCAAGAAAACCATTTTCTCTCACTACTGTTCATCATCTTCTCAACCGATTTCCATGGCTGGTTCATCAGAAACTCCATCTGCCGCTGATAAGACTGCTTCTTTAGGGCTACTGGGCATCAAGGCTATCCAGAATCTCATCTTGGACATTGATCCATCCAAGTGTGACGCCTTTCTCCAACCATTGATCGAATGCCTTAGATACTCTCCTTTGGCTACTGCACTATCAAAGACAGAGAATTTTCCATTGGCTCTTCTATCCAAAGCTTACTCTAGTGATCGTTATCAAGAGAGTAGTGCTACTATTACTTTCGAGCTTGGTAATCTTCAAACAACAATCACCAAGTCCAGATTCAGTCGATTAATGGGGTTTCTCTGAATCAATCTCTTCTTCTGCTATTTTGGAGATGTTATACCAGATGGGCTACAACAACTATCTTTAGATTCTCTCTAAGTTCAAGAAGCCCAACCTTCTTCCCATGTGGATTGGGCTGTTTACCCTAATTTTCAAAAGCTTCTCAGAAAGGGTAACCGGTTCCAATACCATAAGTAAGCTTTTTCTTACTATTCTCTATGCTGTTTACTCTGGGATCATTCTAGATGATGGTTCAGTCCTTTGGAGTCAACTTGTTCAGAGTACTGTTTTTGTAACTAGGCACTCAGAGATATCTTCTGCTCGCTTTTGGGCTATCATCGTACAGTGGGCAATTGATCATCAAAACATTCTGGTGATAGAGGGTTCGGTGATTGCAGCAACTCCAATTTTCCATACTTCCAATTTCATTGTGTCTGACAGTTCAAGGTTCGCCTTCATCTGATCTATTCTAGAAACCATGCTTCACAATGTTCTAGCAGACAGTGAAGTTATCAAAGAATATCGCAGCCAACCAGCATCCGTTCCTCGTCGACTAACCGGTGAGATGCGAAAGGTCTTAGAAGAGGCTGAGAAGCCAAGGAAAAGGGGTAAACCAAAATCGAAGGTTGGACCTTTAGAGCCTACTCACACTCCAATGAAGAAAGTCAAGCGAATCACTTACAAGCCTAAGTCTCCTATACCAGATAATGAGGAGAATTATGAGTCAAATACCATCTCCGAAGTTTGTATACCAGATCAAGTCTTGTGCGAGAATGAAGACACAGTTGCGACTTCGCAACCCATGGTTTTGGAGCCATCAACAACCAATCCTGAGGTAACATTTTTTGTGCCAACTTCTGTTCCCATAACAGATGAGTTTTTCTAGGATTTTTCTCAACCTTCTCTTACTATTACTACTACTACACCTATCATGATGGCCCCCTGTCCAAATGTTTCTATGGGAGTTTCGCAATCCCAGGTGTCCGTTGCACAATCCGTTCCTTTCTTCACAGACTCAACATCAACTACAACAACAACCACTAGTACACCACTGGTTACTATCAATGTATCTGATATGGGGGAAAAGGCTTCTAGTTTTACTTTTGGTGCCAAATTCACTCCCATCTCACCTCTTTGCCATGATGATCCGGATACCATGTTCGGTGATGATTGGGATGTTTTTGAAGACTTTCACTACTACTCTTTCAACGTCCAATAGGCTAGTTATGATGAAGATGCTCCGATGATGAAGGGGCAATTTAAAGCTCTAAATTATAAGTTGGATACTCTCCTTGAGTCTTCCAAATCTTCGTCTAGTACTGAATACTCTTACGAATCTGTCAAAGCTCTAATTGAAAATTTCACAAAGGAGCACGCCACTCGTCTTGATGCATCTACAAAAGCCGTGGCAAATTCCAAGAAGACAGTTCGTGACATGACCGAAAAAGTCGATAAACTATTTTCTGATGTTAAACTATTTATGGAAGACTTCCAAACTTCTTCAGAACGCAATACAGCCTCTACGAATAATGTAATTACAAACCTTGGTACAACACTCTCAACCGAGAAAGAAGCTCTTTCCAAGGTTCGCTCTGGCATCCAGGCTGATAATACAGAGCTTTAAATGTCGATCGCTTCCAAGATTGAAAAGCTTCAAGCAGATCTTGCTACTGAGAATGCTCTCATGCCAACAAGGAATATGAAAACATGAAGTTCGAAAAAGCTGTAATCAAGAGCTGTGTTGCTAATATCAATGCTCACCTGCATAATCTCATCGAGACTCGTGATTCTCTTTTCACAATCTCTGTTCATAAGCATCTTGCTGAGAAATTGAAACCCATCTTCTCCATGCTTGACCGAATTTAGGGTGTTTCGGAATCTTCTATTCCAAAACAAGGGGGATAACCGGGGAAAACTTCAGGTGGTGGCAAAGCAACTGATGGTGGTGATGAGCACAAATAAAAACCACCCAAGTCAAAAGATTCGAAGGATAATGTAGCTTCGGCATCAAGAGGAAAGTAAAAATTGGTTGATGATAGTGATGCAGAAGAAGAAGATGAAAATGAAACCTTAATACGCAAGGCTCGTCGTACAGAAATTGACGAAAATCATCGAATTGTCCAGGAAGCCGAAGAAAAAGAAGGGAAAGCCAGTGAAGCCAAAGTCACTCTGGTAACTCAAAAGCTTCTTTTTCCTGCCTAGTCTACAGAGCATATTTTGAACGAAGCCATCGATAATCCAAGTGTTGAAGGGCCAATATATATGGTTTGGGCTAGGCATCAATGTATAGATGAGTTAGGGCATTTGACTTTGTATTTTGGAGTCTTTTATGTGTTTGGTGTTTTCGGTCTAGGTCATTGTTCTCGGTTGGAAGTGACCGAAAATTGGCTTTCGGTCAGCCTGACCGAAACCTGTTTTCGGTCCATATTGGTATATATAGGTTTGTCAGGCTGTCAGTAGTGTAGGAGTTGATCAGCAGTTGTACTTTGCTAGTTTTCGTTCCCTGAGTTGTATCCGACATTTCCAAGTGTGAATTGTATGCAAGCTCAGTTTCATTTCATCTTCTACTTCATTTCTTCTTTGTTTTCTTATGCTTGATTGATCATTGGTAAAGATCCTTCCATCAAAGACCTTACAATTGGTAGCAGAGCACAAACTGGTGTCAATCAAGCTTATTATTCAGTTTTATGCTTCACAGTCGTGTTCTTCACGTTCTCGGTCACTAGAAGCCTGTTTTTGCTTGAGTTTAGAAGACCAGATCACAATTTGCATCGTGTGGAATCGAGATCTACTTGGATTTCAGCTTTTCGATTGAAATCTTATTGTTTTCGGTTTGATCTTCATCAACCGAAAACATATCTTCAATCGATTTCTGTCCAGATCTAAGCTGTTTGGAAGCTGTGTTTGAGGTTTCACTGTGTGGAAATCAATTCAGGATCGAAAATCTAAATTTTCATTGAAAGCTGTTAGTTTTCAGTTCAATCTTCAGAAACCGAAAATTGTTCTTCAAGTTCTTCAGAAACCAAAAATTCAAAATCCTTTGAATCTTCAGAAACCGAAAACTGTTCTTCAACCGAAATCTCTTGAATCTTCAAAGACCGAAAGCTGTTCTTCAACCGAAAACCTCTCAACCTGCAGAAACCGAACACCATTCATAAACCGAACACTCTTGATCCTTCATAAACCGAAAACCCCTTATTCTACGGAAACCGAAAACCTAATTTTCTTCTCTTAAACTGAAAACTCCCCTTATCATCTTAAACCGAAAATCCCTTTTATTCATTGTTTCCTTTCAACCGAATTCCTCGTTTTCGGTCAACACCACTAAACCGAAAACTCTATTTTCTTGATCCTTTTGTTTGTTTTTTTTTCAAGTTAATTTTTATTAAAAAAATTTAAAAAAATCAAAACAAAAACAAAATGGAATCTCAAAGCATGTCAGCTCATCATGAATTAGATGCCACCATGGGAACCACTTCTCGAATTCCCCGACTGTTATCCGTGGAAGGATTTCCAGAATGGAAATATCGGATCGAAAAGTACATCAAAATGAAAGATTTCAAGATATGGAGAAGCATTCTTAGAGGTCCAATTCGCATCACAACAACGTTGGAAGATGGCACAATAATGGATAAGCAAGTTGAGAATTACACTGATGATGATTTCGAGAGAGTCGAGGAGCAGGAAAAGGCTCTTGCCACACTTACTATGACATTATCTCCGGAAATTGCTCAAGGTTTTCGTGAGTATACATTAGCAAAGGCCTTATGGGAAGCACTGATCGAAGTATACGAAGGCAATGAAGACATGAAACAGAGTCGCCAAGACATGCTGCGACAGAAGTTTAACATGTTTAACCATGTCTTGGGAGAATCACTTGAGAATCAGTTGCAGAGGTTTATCACACTTACCACAGAAATGAGCTCTGCTGGTGTGATGGTTACAAGATCAGAGATAAACAAGAAGCTGCTAAATTCTTTACCAAAATCTTGGGATATGAATGTCTCAGTGATTAAGAAAACCAAAGATTTGAACTGTTTGAGTTTGGAGGAAACAATGGCGATCATTAAGGCTTGCGATCTCGATGATAAGCAAATGGAGATTAATCATGCTAATTCATACTCCTCAGCAAATCTTGGGATCCAAACCACCAACAACACTGCTTTCTCAAGCTCTTCTACTCCTCAAGCTCCTCAAGTTTCTCATGTTCCACAAGCTCAACCATATGTGACTCATCAGCCTACCTCATACGTGATCCCTCAAATGCAACACATTCAAGTTCCTCAACCTCAAACTTTAGTTCAACAAGTTGGTTCTAGTGTTGGTTCATCCACAGCTGCACCCATTCAATCTCATGGAATCAGTTCTCAAGCTTCATCTTTAAAAGAAAAGGAAGAAAATCTGGCCCTCGCCACTGGTTTGGTAAATTGCTACAATGCTTTTGTGGCCGGAGAACTCTCCCCACAACTCTTATTTGCTGACCTAGACCAGATCCATCCTGAGGATGTGGAAGAAATGGACATCACTTAGCAAATGGCCATGGCGGTTTTCAGGGTAAAGCAGTTCTCCAAGAAAACAGGAAAGAACAATTGGAGTGTGAATTCCGACAAGAAAGTAGGATTCAACAAAGGAAAACTACGATGTTACAACTGCCATGAGCCTGGTCATTTTTCTTGGGAGTGTCCAAAGCCAGACCGAAGAGAGAATTCTGAGCGAACCATGGTGCCGGTGACCTATGTCAACAAGGGATCTTCTTCAAGCAATCAGACTGCTAACTTGGCGACGGTGGCCCAATCCTTTGATTGGGAAGATCAAATTCAGGCACTGAATATTTCAGGACCTGAAAATGTGCATCTTGCTCAAATCAAGGATTGTGTGGAGGA